AGCAGGGGAGGTCGTCTTTGTGGGCCAGTGCCTCTGAGGGTGCAGGAGTCAGCCTGGGGTCTGCGATGGGAGGCTGGAGTCTCTCCCTCTCTCTGTCTCTCTTGGAAAGGAGTTACAGACACAGAACGAAGAGGGAAGGGAGCCCTGTGGAGCTGACCCCAAGTGGAGGCCTCCTGTGAACTAATGGTTTGAGGGCTGAGCTGTGAGTACTGAGGGGGCTGGAGGGCTGGCTCTCTTCCGCGTGTGTTTATTTAACATAAAACTTGCCCTTTTCGTGTGATCTAGATCCTGCATGCTCACCTGCGAGGAGAGAGAAAGGGAAGCACTGTCACAGGCCCCGTCACCCTGCAACTGCCTTTCCCGGCCCTCCAGCTCCTCGGGACCCAGCACAGGCCAGGGTGTTTTCCATACGCTTCCAGCCTCGTGGGGCACTTGCTTACCCCTGGGCCACTTCGGCATTTTCATGTGTGTCGTTCTGAGGGAGTAAGTACCTTCTCTTGTTGTGTGACCATCACCATCGTCACCTCAGAAACCCTGAGGAGCTAAACACTGACTCACAGGGGCCTGCAGGTGGCGTGGTGGTTAAGGCTCCAGACTCCCACATAGCCAATCGCGGTTCGTGTACTGAACCTGGTGGCTTGCTCTCTGGCCCCTGCCCACCCCCACCCCCCCACTCTGTCTCTCTCTGGTCAAAATTAAAAATAATACTACTACTAAATAAAAGTATTAATTTTTTTTTTAAATGACTTGGCAGGGCCAGCGGGTTTGGTGGTTAAGAACACTGGATTCCCATGTGGCCAACCGTGGTTTGAGTCCCGGATTTGACAGCTTGCTTTCTCACTTTCTCTTTCTCTTGCTTTGTCCCTCTCTGGTCAAATAAAAAAATTAAATAAAGTTAAATAAAATAATTCTTTAAAAAATCAACTCAGTTAAAGAAAAGATTAAAAAAAAAATGACTTTCCACCCCTGGCCCCCAGGCCTGTCTCACCATTTTGCTATCAGCCTCCATGACTCAACTACTCCAGGGGGCTGCTGGGAGTGAACCACATGGCTGTTGTCCTTCTGTGACTCCTGAGTATGCGCTGCCAGATCCAGGACTCACACCCCTCAGTCAGCCATGTGGGAGCCAGCCGTCTTCACCACCACGTGACCTGCTGGCCCTTAAAATTTTTAAATGATTAAAAAATATAATCATTTTGGGGACAGCAGGTGCCAAGGCCCACCACGGTTCCAGTCCTGCATTTAAGTTTTCCAATACTATTTTATTTTAGTGGAAATCATGTTTTTGTTTGTTTTTAATTTTTTAAGAATTATTTTATTTAACTTTATTTATTATTATTATTATCATTATTATTTTCCAGTTTGATCAGAGAGAGAGAGAGAGAGAGAAAGAGAGAGAGAGGAAGTGAGAAAGCCAGCCACCAGATCCGAGACTTGAACCGTGGTCAGCCATGTGGGAGTCCAGCGCCTTTAACCACCATGCCACTTGCCGGCCCCTGGAAATCATGTTTTTAAAATAAATTCAGGGGTAGGGGCGGCAGGTGGCGTGATGGTTAAGGCACTGGACTCCCACATGGCTGATTGCTGTGCGAGTCCTAGACCTGGCAGCTTGTTTTCTCATTTTTCCTCTCTCTCTGTTCAAATTTTTAAAAATAATAATAAATAAAATTAAGTCACTAGTTCTTTAAAAAATTAATTAATTCAGGGCCTAAACAGTACCATAGTTGTAACACAATGCTTGTGAGGCTGACCCATACAGGAAGGTCTGAATAAGCTATGATCTGGGGCTGGCTCAGGCTGAGGGCAGGTTGTACCATGAAGACCTTGTTGGGGATCTCTGTCTCTCTGTCTCTCTCACTCAAAGAGTTGAGTTGGAATCACAAGGCTAATTAGCTGATTTAATTTGTCAGAGTTCCATAAAACATTATAAACACAATATATGAAAGTTAACAAAATGTTTATAATAGCTTCTTAGATAATTTTTATATTGTAAATGGGCCTTTTTTTTTTTTTTTTAAGTTTGCCATAGGGCGTGTGTACTCACCTGGAAAGAGAAAGAAAGACAGAGAAAGAGGAAAAGTGGGAAATCACCTCCCAGGATGGCCACATTGTAATCTCGTCTCCATTCTGTTCTCAGGATTTGGGGCATGCGCACACACACGGGCCCATATGTTTTTCAATTCTTCTATTGTGTGAATAGGCCACATTCCGTAATGCATGTGTCAGCTGATGGTGAAGGGTGGCTGAAGATGCCCCCCAAAATAACCCCTTAGTATAAAGATTACTTTGTGCTAAAGGAACTCAACCAATAACTGGTGTGAGAACACCCTTTTTTTATTGGGGGGGTTACTTATTTATTTTGCCATAGGATGCATGCACTTGCCAGAGAGAAACAGAAAGAAAGAAAGAAATCAGCCCCAGGGTGAATGGCCACACTGCAATCCCTTCTCCTCCATTCTTTTGGGATTTAGGGTATGCACGCACACACGCCTGGCATGATTTTTCAAGCCGCCAGGTTTGGAACTTGACCTGCAGAGTTGGTCATGTAGGATCCTGTGCCTTAACCACCACGCCACCTACTGGCCCTGAGAAGAAATTCTGATCTCCCCTTTGTTCCCTGAAAATGGGAGAAAAAACTCCCTTGTGAAAGATGCTCTCCCCATATCAGAAGAAAAGACACATCCTTCCATGGGGTCAGAGCTGAGACAACTCTGTCCCAACAGCCAGTGTTAACATAATGGTATCTTCTGTAACCTCCTGACCATCCTCTCCTTACTTTTCCACAATAGTCTCTCTCTGTTCAACCTAATATAGAAACATTTAGGTTTTGCTACTTCTTTGGGGCTTCATGTACTTAAAAGGGCTCTGTGTCACATAAAACTTAGATTAATACATTTTTCTTTTCCCTTGTTAATCTATTTTATGTCCATTTCATTCTCAGCCCAGCCAGGACCTTAAGAGTGTGAAGATGGGGCAGGCAGTTGGCGTGGTTGTTAAGGCACTAGACTCCCACATAGCTCACCATGGTTCGAGTCCCAGACCTGGCAGCCTGTTTTCTCACTTTCTCTCTCTGTCTCTCTGGTTAAATTTTAAAAAAATAAATAAATAAAATTAAATCAATAATTCTTGCTTTTCTTTTTTCACTTTCTTTTTTTTAAATTTAAATTTATTTATTTACATTCATTCACTGTACATCATTACCGCATACAAAATGAGATTTCCCATCCAGAATACACTGTATATTGGCTCAGTCAAGCACATCAACATACGTGTTATCATCGACAAATATGTTTCCATTTCTTGTTTCCTGTATATTTTGCTTTTTTTTTTTCTTTGCCCATCCTTGATTCCCTATCTCTCACCCTCTACCGTGTCCCGCCCTCCTCCCACACTGTCTCTGGTATCTATAGTTGCTTTCTGTGCCTTTCTCCCCCCACGTTTTATTGATTCACTGATGAACTTAATTAATCTAAATAACTCCAATAGCAAGCACAGCTGATATATACATGTCTATGAACACAAATCTGACTTTAGGCATAAACCTCAGTGAGTCGAATGAATGTACTATAAAGTAGCACCTAGCTGGGGCTATAGAGCTTACTGCAGTTATCAAATATGCGTTTTTTTAAAAAGCTTTTTTTTTAATTTAACTTTTATTTATTTATTTTAATTTGACCAGAGAGGGACAGAGTGAGAGAGAGAGAAGGAAAGTGAGAAAGCAAGC